TTTTGTGTTAGAAGCTCACAGCCCAGACATAGCTTCAGCACTTGTGATTCTCATTAATTCATTGGATTTATATTTTGCATCGTCCCAGTTACATCAGGAAAGTAGATTTCCAGATGTTGCTGCACTGGAACTCCCATAATTCTTTATAACTGGCCATGTCAGCAGGAGCTGATAAAACAAGAAGCCCAGTAAATCTGTGTAACAGATGAACAGAGTGGTCAACAGTATTCATTATTTGGTAATGTGCAAGAGTGGGTGGGTGGGTGGATGGCTCGTCTTGCCTGAGATGATGGTTGCCACGTCCATGTACTCATGCTGCTTCAGTAAGAAATTACGGTGTGGCGCAGCAGTTGTCATGTTAGGTTTGGGCAAACCAAGTCCGACTCTTCAGTGGGAGAAATGAGATTCACTGGAGGACCTTGGCCGATGCCATGATGTCTTTCTGAAAATCAAGTGGGGGGTAAGGGAGGCCAAGTTTGCCATCTTGAATTAATTAGAAGAAAGTGGGATGTAAAGAAAATATATAAATATGACAGGGAAACTACCTGGGAAAATTACAATTGGCGTAACTGTTTCCAGAAATAGTGTCACCAATACAGGGAAGGACCCACCATGTAACCAATCCACATGGTGAAGTTTTTAATAGGTTTATTTTACTTCTTACTTTCAAAGTATGGAGGCTAAAAAGAGTGGGGCTGATCCTCTCATTTTGTCTCAGGAGTCCACAACAGCAACGCTTTTCAGAAACCCCATCAACACCTGACATCTAGAAAGTTCCTTGTAGTAGACCCTGTCCTTCCAGCACCAGAGAGCACCAGTCACAATGGAGGTCCTGTGCTGAGTCTGATTCACACATGTCCTTCCATCACTGAACTACTGCAGTCTGAAGGGACAGCTTGCATGTGTGGCCATCCCAAAACCTAGTTATACAGGCAGAACTCAGTTCACTTTATATACAGTACTTCTTAACATTCCTTCTGTTAATCATTCATTATAATTCATATCTTTGCAAGGCAGAGAACCTGGCTTTGCCAGATACTTTTTTGGGGCCAATGTATAGGCATGAATCATTCAAAGGAGTGGCAACCTAGTTCGCAATGAATTCTAGCACATGGGGCTGATGCAAGCCCTGTTGCAGGCAAGAAGCTATTGAAGACCAATCCAAAGTAGTCCCTTGAGTTGTCTCTGATGTGGGGGCAGGGGAAGAATAGCTTTTGATCTGTTTTAGCTCCTTCTGTTTCTTTTTCCTTCCTTGGGGTTGGATAGGGGAGGATCATACATCTCCCTTCTGGTCCAGTGTCTTTTTCTGCTATCAAGTCCAGCTCTTGAGGAGCTGAAAACGTGGGGGCATTTTTGGCTCTCAAGCAGGGCTGTCCCACAATACAAACTTTCAGCCTGTGTGGATCTTCATCAGGCTGAAAGCCACATACATCAGTGAATGGTGCAGAAAAAAAAAACACACAAGAGTTCCAAAAAGTTATGGCTAGATGTCTATGCCAAGCTTTTTCCTTTTTTTAAGTGAGTTTCAAAATGGAAGCTGCAGAGACAAACCAGGAAGACTGTCTGGTTGAAGCAATCCAGTCAGCATAGTCAGAGGTGGAATTTCAAACCAACACTCCTGATGAGCCTGATGAAGGCCCATACAAGCAGAAAGGTAGCTGTTGTTGTTGTTTTTTTTTTTGGGGGGGGGTTAGTAGTCTAATAGAGATAATGCCAACCTTTGCCTTTGCCAGAGATGCTTACTGTATTGACATTTTTGCTCTCATCCTTTCCACTACTGTGGATCAGCCCCACCTCCTCCTGGCATTCAGCCCACGTTTGATTACCCCTCTCCCCACCATATAAAAATGCAACCTTTGTTCTTAAAAAAATGTTGGCCACCCCCAAAATACACCATCCAAGTATCAAACTCCAGAATCTCTGCTAGAGGGCTAATATGAAACGTTAGCCATTAAAGTTCTTCCCCTAAGCATGTAGAAGTGAATAAGACAGGAAGAGAACTATTTATTCTGAAGCTCCGGAAGCAACTTCTGCTTATTTTGTGATGGGGGGGGACACACACCAAAAAGTGAAGTTACCCACAAACCACAAAAGCAGATGTTTGGCATCCAGCCCAGTTTTTCTCTGCTTTGCAGATCTGATTGCAGAACAATCCTTTCCCTGTGACTCATTAATTACAGTTGCCTAATATACCAAATGAGGGTAGATTGGAAGATATGGAGAAGGTACTTGGAGGGCCTTTTGCAACAGGCCCCTTTCTGTCCCACCCCTTGTGATGAACCTTGTTGCCACCCAAGCCTGTCTTGGAAAATTGCTTCACAAATTCAGGGCACCCCAGCCTGTCTGTCTGTCTGGAGTCATTGTCTTATGACTTTGCAGTGGCTTGAATGCAGGAGCAAATTAAGGAAGACCATCAGCAGGTACAACACACACACACACACAGGGAGAGAGAGAGAGAGAGAGAGAGACTCACAGTTGCAGCAGAGCTTCAAAGGAACTGAGATACATGTAGTTACCTGCAGCAACTTACTTTTCTGAGTACTGTAATGAGGATGGAGCAAAGTAACACTGAAGAGCATATTTAGAAGCAATTTTATTGGAAGTTTTCAAGTTTTATGCCATTTTCTTATCAATCCTAAGCATCTTTTTTAAAATACCAAAAAGTAAACAAAAAAGTACTTCCCTGGGTTCTAAGAGTTGGCTTTTGTTTTAAAAAAATAATAAAACTTTATTCATGATTAATAGCAATCAGCTACTCTTCAAACACTAGAATATATAAGGGGAAGAAACTGCTTTTAAAAACGAATAACTTTCTAAGTTTTGAGCCACAGCAGGGCATCCAATGTACGGAGTGATTCCCCTTTGTGCTTAGGTGCTTTAGAAGAAAATAACAAAAAATTGTTTTTCTTTTGCATTCTGGTTCTTGGTTCATATTGAGACTTGCCCTTTTCTCCTTGTAAAAGAACTTGTACGGGCTTTGGTCTGTTTGCATTTTTTTAAAAATGTATACTGTACATGTTATACTGCATACTGTATTTTATTTCTTGGAATTACATCACCAGCCTCACAAATGTGTAGATTTTATAGGTCAGATGCCCTTTGTTTTATAACAGGGCTCAGGGGATATTAAACTGATACCTTCATTATTCATTTGGAAGTCAGTGAAATTTGTTTTCATCCTTGCTTTTCTTGTAGCATACTTTCACAGCCAGAATGGCTGAAACTTTGTGCTTATTTTTCTTATCTGTGGCACTGAGCGGAGACTTTTCACACAGCATTCATGCTTCCCATTTGTGGGACAATGACAACACTCTCCCAGACTTAAGAGCTATCAAGCACTGGTCAATACTTTGAATGAATGAAGCAAAAAAAGTGGCAGAATTCTATATGCACACTAAATCTTCCACATTGTAAAATTTGAGAAGACATGTCTATCTGTTTGGCAAAGAACACCTCACACATCTACTTAGTAGACACTGCATACAATCCATGTAAAGGTAAGCACACTGAGGTTGGTTCATTTGGCATTCTCAACGATAACCATTTGTCCTTATCACTTGAAAACAAAGTGCAGTGCTTGTCATCCTCCAGATATTTGAGGAGTTAATTTGAGGTGATATTTGAGGAGTTGGGCTGCTGCTTTCTTCTGCATTTGTACTTATCAGCACTTACTTGGCAACTGTACCCAGATGGCCATAGGGTGCTACTTGTCTGAATATACTGAATTTTGAAAGGGTCCTTCTGAAACACTCAAAGGGGTTGAAGGTTGCAATTGTTAGGGGATTTTACTACTTGGTTCGTTTTAGCCTGTGTCTATTGGAGTCCTGAGGGCTGGTAAGCATATTCATTATTCTGGATGGATATCACAGCATGGAGCTAGGGTGTGGAGTGTAGTAGCTGTTTCAAATAAATTTATCCGAAGGATGTAGTTGGATGTGGTTAGATCGTATATCTGTGGCATGAGAAAGAACTCCCACCAGTGACTTTTGAAGCAACCACAGAAGAGGCCATGTAGCCTGGCATTGGTGTCCTAGGCAGTTGTTTAGTGAAAAATTTAGAATTGCAACCATTCACCCATATCAGTTATCAAACAAAGAATCAGAGGTATACAGCGTACTCCACTTCAGACAGTAGACAATTCACTGAGTTCCAAAAGGTTGTATTTGCAGAGACACAGAACAGGCATGGATTCTGCATCCCTAGAGGTGCAACTTGACCCCAGCACACCTAATGCTGATTCTTCCAACCTGCCGTTTCCATTTTGGGACTTAATGTTAAAGTAGCATGATATTCTTAGCATGTTTTCTGCAAAGTTGCTCCCTTATGTGATAAAAGGCAACTATTTGTCACGATACGTGATTGCTTCTGTATCTTGCATTTGCCATTACTTTTATGGCTGGTCTTTTTTAAAAACTGCAGCTAATAGAAAACCCAAGGTAAAATGGCCAAAAGTCATGCTGACTAGGGATTCTGCAACTTGAAGTCTAAAAAACCCCAGATGCTTCCAAATTCTGATCATGTCATACATTGCATTAGTTGTTAGACTCCCTCTTGTAATCATGGCAGATCCATTCCTGGAAAACCTTCCCAGATCACCAGTTCAGTCGTTGGTTACCCCTGCCTTCCTTCTAAAATGGCAATTTATTCAAACATCCCTGCATCTCTTTGGCTGAGTCCCAGCGAGCTGTTCTAGGATTTTTCAACAAAGGAGCCAAAGACTGCGCCTGCCAACTGCCATGTTTAAATTTTTAAACAACTCTTGGATAATAAAACCCTCTCATTGTAAAACTATTTTCCACTGCCTTAATCACTACCACAGTGAGCTGGATGTTCCCCTCCAGCAACAGCCTGGATGCATAGCCAAGACTTTGGAATCCAGGCAGCTCCCCCTGCCCCCCATTTCCAGAAAAATCTGCCTTGGAAACTCATCCACCCATCTCTCAAGACTCCTTTTTTGTTTGGTTGCCGGAACTTGCTACGCCTCTACTGCAAGGCTATATAAAGGCATGGGAGTGGCATCTTCGTTCCCCCACATCTGTGCAAGGACCTGCTCAGTGAGCTGTCTGCAAGAAGGAACTGCTTCAAGAACACCAGCACCATGCCTGTGAGTTTCTGGGAAAGGGCAGCAGTTTCTGATGCTCGGGGCTGCCCAATGGGCCAGATGCTCCCAGGCACAAATAACACAAGGGCGCCTGCCTCTCTCCCGCAGTGCTAGGAATCAGCAGATGCGCCAGAGACAGAAACAGTAGGTTTTGAAGGGAGAGAGGTTCCTGCTATTGAACTTGCACTGAAAATTCAGTTCGTATAGTTAGTTTTTCTTGCGTATAAAATCAAATCAATTGTGTGTTCTTTTTCTATGCTGAAATCCAGAGCAGCGTCTGCAGGTTGAGGAAATAATTGATTTGCAAAATGGTTTCTGTTTTTTGTTTGTTTGTTTTGTTTTGTCCTCCTGAGAATGCATTTATATGGGAGGGGGAAGAGTTCTGTTTAGGTTTCTTTGGGGGGGTATAATGTCTTTTGTCAGTACCTTGGAAATGTTCTCTTTTTTAGACTGCAAATCCCGGATTTCTGAGAATTTCCACACTCTACTTTTCTCCCAAACTTTCAACTTCTCACCTTCCTTCCCTCCTTGCAGTCAGGGGAGGAAGACACTAAAAAAGCTCCTGGAAGCAGTTTGAGCATCCATCTGGGCTTGGATTCTCTCTAAGCATACACTTGGAGACATGCTTGCAGCCCAGAGCAATTATAAATCCCTGGATCTGAAGTATTAAGTCTACTGAGGGCAAGCAATGGGAATGTTCAAAGCTGTGTGGCAACTGGGTGGGGCTCAGAACAGCCTAAACCTGCAAATGTTTCCCCTGCTTTTTTTTTGGGGGGGGGGAGTCTCCTTAATTAACATCTTCTCTCCTTTATGGAGGTTAGGCTCTTGGCTTTTTAATAGTTTACTTTTCTCCTAATACAGAGCATCTCCAGGAAATTAACTGAAAAAATTGTATATGCATGAGAAACAAAAGTAACAACAATCATGCTTGCTTGCTTTTTGTCTTGAGCTGTTCTTGAAAAAAGTTGCAGTGGAGGTTTCTACCTGTTATTTTCTATTTATTTTTCATGTTTACTAATATTAATCTTCAAAATCTTAATCTTCCAAAGACAGAAACCTTTATACCCAATGCTCTGACTAGAAAGCCAAGGCTGAGAATTGCCATATTGAGCCACGTTGGTATCTCTAGGCTCAATACAACTGCTGTCTGATTTATTAAGTCTTTAATAATTCAGCTTTAGGGGGAGAAAGGCAGGAAAGTTTCACATTGCAGCCTTTTGCCTCTGAGATGCTCAAAAGATTAAAATAAACCTGTGTCCTAGTTGGCACAATGGGAAATTTAGCTGAGGCTTAGGATGATCCAGCGTTGGAATGAATAGGCCAAACATCTGCTCCTTTCCCAGAAGATGATAGCCAAGGCAAGAGGACCCCAAGCCCACTGCTCTGCCTAACAAAGGTCCAGGGAAGAGACTTACCCTTTGGAATGGTAACTCCCAGAATCCCTCCAGCTATGCTGGTCGAGAGCTTCTGGAAATTACAGTTGAAAATGAAAACTTTTCAGTTTGAGCCCCAGGATGAATCACTGGAGGACCAGTGGGAAGTGGGTATGCTCACTTCTCCCTTCTTGTGGTAAAGTGAGAACACTGCCTGCCTGCCACAGAGGTTCCTCTGCCCTGCCACAAAATGGCTCCATAAAAAGGAAGAGTTGAGGATCATAGTCCCTTTCTCTGGAGATTGGGAGTAGCCCACTGCTCTCTGGTTTGCAGCTGTGCTCCATACAGGAAGAAGGCATTGCTCTCTTCCACCCCCTTAAGTCCATGTTCTTCTGTTTTCACAGAAGAGGTCTGTGGGCAATTAAAAGAAGCTGAAGTGACAATGCATAAGTATTTCTTCCAATGGGAAAGTCAGAACCATAGCCACGTGTGCTAATAGAAAACACATTCCAGTGGGTCTGCTCTGTCTTTTAATTCCCACCATCACTTTACTCTGGAAGGTTCTCTATCAGATTATTAAGGATGCTTTACTACTTAAGGCCACACCCTGGTCCTCCATGTTCCTCTAGAACAACGGCTACTCCCTGGGTCTGTGTTTAAACCACCAGCTCACACAGTCTTGATGATGCCTGACAACAAAGTGAATCCACTGATCGATGTCATGCTTTTTTCAAATGGGGCTGGGGCCGAGTGTGTGTGGTTTTTCAGGCGTTGTTGAAAAGCCGTAAACATCATAGCAAGGATAATGGGAGTTGCAGTCCAGAAAAAAATCTGGAAAGCCCCCCACATGCTCTGTGTCTGCTTTAAACATTAGCCAATCTTCAAACTTAGGAATGAATATGCTATATTTACAAAGTTCTAGTGGTTTGTTTTCCCTGGATAATAAAATGGCATCGTCTTTCATTGGAGCAAGAAAACTAGTAAACTGCCCGCTAATTTGTCCATAATGTCCATCAGCAGGAGCCTGTGATCCATAGTATGGGGGCCCATTTTCATGTTAGAGAAAGAAATCTATCATGTACCTCTGATTTGCTTCCCCAGGGAATTGTTTGCACCAACCTGCTTGTTGCACCTGGCCAGCGTTTCTCTGTCAAAGGTGATATTCCATCAGGAGCTAAAAGGTAAGATGATCACCTGGGTGAGAGAATCATGAAGCTCACTTAGGATCTTGCCCCTAATAATCTTATAGTCACTTGATCCTTTTTAAACTGAATTATGATTTCCTCAGAAGCAGAGCTTGAAAATGTTAGTGTTGCCGCTAATGTCTTAAAATGTGAGCAAAGTTATAAAATACCTTTGTTGATCTTAATTATTTAAAGTTACTAAGATGCCCAGTAATGAAACCTCTTGGAGATGACTAAAAAACAATATTGTTGGCATTTACAATGACAAATTTTAGAATTCCTGTTGAAAATCTCTGAAAATTATGGGCAAAAAATTAGTTTCTAATGATTTATTTACAACTTCTGCTCTGAAGATTCCCAAGAATTCTCAGGAATAGCCATGAAATCCATGGATGTCTGCAGCGATGCTTTTCATAATAGAAGGGGGAGATTTGGGATAGTACAGACTAAAGAGAAGGAATCTCCTTTCTTTCCTTCTTGCTTTAAAGCAGAAAGGGCAATGGCCATAAAGGGGTTAATGGCCACCCACAGCAGCATTTTCCAGTGAGTCACTTACGAACAAAGGCTAGCAGCTGATGATCCCCCTCCCTCATCACTGTAGTCTTCCTGCCAAGAGACTAAACAGAACCAGCTGCTGAAGGCTGTGGTTCTCCAACTCCTCCTCCTCTTTTCAGTCTCCTCTTGCAACGTCTTTTCCTCTGTCTGTTGCACACAGTCAACTGACTCCTATTTGGTGCTTGGCCAGGAGCAATGAACAGAATGAGACCAGAACAGCACAATCCTACTGGCTGTGATTTTCTCTTTGGAGCCTTTTCTTGTCCTAGATTTCCCTGGTTTTCTGTAGTAAAACAGTGCAATTCCTCAGATGCCAGTCTGCCCCAATCTGACAGGCACCAGATCTGTTGGACTCCCATTATCCCCAGCCAGGATGAACCTGTTGGGAAAAGTGGTAGCAATTTTCAAAAAATAAAGTGGGACTACAGAAGTTGACCTCATGGCTTTTTATATGGAGTCTTCATTCAGTTGCAGTCTTAGGGCCAAGCTGCGTGCTTGGTCTGTGCCATCAACTCAGAACCGACTTGTAGTGAACCTAATAGGGTTTTCATGGTACATGAGATATTTAAGGAGGGCTTTTACCAGTTCCCAGTGAGTTTCCATGGGCCAGAAAGGATTTCAACCTTGTTCTCCAAAGTCCTAATCCACCACTCTTCTCCGCCAGACCACACTGGGAGTCATAGGGCCAAACTAGGTATGACTTAACTGTGGCAATGCAGCCAACATTCATATTTTATGAGAGAAATGGAGGTTTCCTGCATTATGGCATGGAAAGGACTTCTTTTATCTTTCCTGCTACCCTCCTCAGTCCTGAGATTGCTCTGCAGCTACAGCTTACAGTTGACACAACAGCATACAAATGGATTGCTTTCACAGTTTGCATGATATCATATCTAGTGTGGCTCTCAGCACATACCGCTGAAGGTAGGAAATGCTTGATTTAGTCCCTGGCTACATCTCTAGACCCAGTGTGATAGAATGGATAGACCAGGACTCTAGAGAACAGGGTTTGAATCCCCATTTGGCCATGGAAACTCACTGGAAGAATGGAACTGGTAAAACTCCTTAAACATCTCGCTTACCATGAAAGTCCTATTAGGGTCATTATAAGTCAGTTCCAACTTGACCACACAGAACAGAACATGTCTCCAGATGAAAGTGTGGGCATCTATCATTCTGTACTACATCTCCCAGAATCCTTGGAGATGTTGGGGAATTTTGGGAGTTACAGGTGTTTTTTTTAAAAAGCCCTACATTTTCTAAAAAAAGCCCTACATTTGGAAGAGCTTTTAGCATTAGTCCGGCCAGTCTAGCAGCCTAGCTCCACATATGTTCGTAATCATACCCAAACTAGGAATTTCTCTAGACTCTACTGAAATGGAACAGCCTCCCCTAATCTGGTACCTCCAAATATTTTGGATGACAAGTCCCATCATCCTCAGCTAAAGTTTAGGGAGCTGTGGTCCAAAATATCTGGAAAATACTACGTTGAAGAACATTGAGCCAAAGAACTCTGTAATCCTTAAACATATGCATATTCACCGGGTAGGTGGGGCTCATCAGCCTTCGCAGGCAGCCCATCTCGGAGGAGGAAAACGCTGATTTCAAACCTCCACTGCCTTGTGGCTATATCCAGGGATGGAAAAGGCTTCAGGAGTTAACCTCGAGGAAAAATCCAGAGCCGGCGTCCCGGAGGCAGTTCGTGTCGTTCTGGCAACTCCTGCGACATTGCTGGAACAAGTTGTATTGGCTCTTGCCTTTCCATTGGCCTATTTCAGCTATGTGGAGAGGGGGGATTTGCTGCTTGGGTACAGCCTATCCTCCATATTATTTTACCCAGGCTTCATGCTCTAGAGAGGACACTCCAGCTTCACATACAGAGTCGAAGCAAAATCAGGGAGCTAGATGGGACAGATTGTATTTGTCTTCAGTGTGGAAGCGATTGTTACTCTCAAATTGGCCTTCTCAGCCACACTAGATGCTGTTCCACGTCCTCAGAAGGATAGAAGGCTGAGTCAACCTTGATGGAATCCCTGGGTCGGGAGCACAGTTTTGGCTGCAGTACAGCAGTTTCACCACTGCACCACAAAGCTTATTATACTTTCCATCCTGCTTGCGTGGACAACGGCAGCTGTGGTCCAAAATAGCTGGAAGGCTTCTTCTCCAGGTGGAGAAGACTGCTGCATTACTCCTAGATCTCACTAACTGAATGGAGGCAGGGAGGTAGAGCAAATAACAAAAAACCTATATATTCGCCAGTCCTCCTTGATCAGTGCTGTGGTGTAATCCACCCCAATACAGTACAAATAGTGGGCAGGGCTTTGCTTGGCATGAAAGCAGATGTGGGGGAAAGTGCTGTAGCTGGGGCACCCAAAATGCAATTTGATGCACGAGAAACCAGCCCACCCCAGAGGTTCTGTTGGAATGAAGCTGATGGCCGAGTGATCCTCCTGCCAAAAAAGTAGCATACAGACAGCCCCACACCCCTTTGGATTTTGCTGCCCAAGCATGTTTTCCAGCAAGGCAGTTGTGCCCCTAGGAACTACTTAATTGCTTCCAGAACACAGGCTCTCCCCATTTCGGAGTTTACCAAGATGTGCTGTTACCACCCAGCTACTCTTTTGCTAGTAATATCCACCATTAAGGTAATTATTGTGCTTTTCAATTTCCTCTGGCCCCTAACCTATTACAGCCCAACAACCTCAGCCTACACTCCCCGCCCCCCAACATGCCTATGTACATCTCGCAAACTGCAATAATACTTTGCGCCCCGCTTGAAGTAGATATGTTTCTGCAACTGCTCATGAAATCCATTCACCTTTAAGGCGCCACTTCACATTTTCCATATCTAGTTTGTTTCAGCATGTGAGAGAGGGGATCAAAGGGCAGAAAATTCTGGCACCTTCAAGAATGATGGATTTGTTTCCATGTGAGCATTTGTGGATCCAAATCCACTTGCTTCCAAGGCAGTGAATTTGGACCCACAAAAGCTCACACAGAAACATGGCAGTTCATCCTTAAGGTGCCACCATATGTTTCCTCCTTTTTTTATTTTGTCAACATAACTTTTTGTTGTTTTTATGTGCTGTCAAGTCACTCTCAGGTTGTGGCAACCCTATGAATGAATGATCTCCAAAATGTCCTATCCTCAACAACCCAGCTCAGCATTTGCAAACTCAAACTTGTGGCTTCCTTAAGGGAGTCAGTCTATCTCATATTTGGTCTTCCTCTTTTCCTGCTGCCTTCCATCTTTCCCATAATTATTGTCTTTTCTAGATAATCTTGTCTTCTCATACATAGGCATCCTTCAGTCTCGAGAGACTATGGTAACGTGCTCTGTATCGAGGAGTGGACTCTCCAGAGCATGAAGCCTGGGTAAAGTAATATGGAGGCTAGGCTGTTACCCAAGCAGCAGATCCCCCCTCTCCACGTTGCTGAAATGGTCCAATGGAAAGGCAAGAACCAATACAACTGGTTCCAGCAACGTCGCAGGAGTTGGCAGAACAACACGAACTGCCTTCGGGACTCCAGCTCCGGATTTTGCCTCGAGGTTAACTCCTGAAGCCTTTTCCATGAGTAGATATAGCCACAAGGCAGTGGAGGTTTGAAATCAGAGTTTTCCTTCTCCTAGATGGACTGCCTTCCATGGCTGACGAGCCCCACCTACCTGGCCTGCTCTCTAAAAGTGCAGAAGTATGATCTGACCCTTAAAACTTTCCTGCCTCCCAGGTGTATGCAATTCTAATTGGCTTTCCTATTTACCATATTAGGGTCAGAGATAGAATCAGAGAATTTGAGGTGTCCTGGGACACCCTCATTTAAAGCAGAAAGCCCCACCCCTAGCCCCACTCCCTAAGCCATGTGGTGGGAGAGACCAAAAGAAAGCCCAGCAAAAAAAACTCCTCAGCAAAATGTCCATGCAAACATACCTGGCCTTCAGCCTCATCCAAGCTTCCCAGGGAAAAAGGCCCAGGGTTCTGGGACACCCTCATTTAATGTGCCCAAAATAGGACAACCTCAGTTTCAACATTTTTGCTTCCAGAGATAGTCCAGATAGCTCAGGTTTTACTTGATCTAGGACCCAAAAATTTGTACAAGTATTTTCCAGAGGGCTAGTTTTAGTATTTTCCAGTAGGGCAACCTCTGGAAAATACTTGTACAACAAGATTAAAGAAAATGTTGCAAGCTGTGATGAAATGTTAGGAGATGCTATCCCAATAACAGCATTTGTAACCTGTTCCCTCATCAAGAATTGTAATCACATCTAGATGGCTGTCAGGCTGAAGTAAAGAACACACGGGCCTCCAGATATGGCATACAGCAGCTCCCATGGGCCCCAGATGGCAGAGCTGATTCTGAGGGAGGATGGGAATTGTAGTCAACCAACCTTTGGAATTGGTTCCCCAGAAGATCTATGTTTGAGTAGCAGGGGCCCTAAAATGTCTTGGCTCCTTCACTGGGAACCAATGTGTCCTTGAGGATCAACATGCCTGGACCTTTCCTCTCTCCTTGATAACATCACCATAATTATCAAAAACACCTTCATTTACACCTACATGGCAGATGCCTCAAAGGCAGGGAAGGGCCCTTGGAAAAGCTAAGGCTGCTTTGGGAAAGGCACTTGGGAAGAAGGAGCCAGGCTTCTGCAATTGCTTCAGCTTGCCTCCAGCGGAGGAGGAGGAGGAGGTGGCAGGTTCTCCCTGTTTTATAAAGTTGGAAATGCCCATAGAAGATCATGAGCAGTGTAGAGGTTGGAAAAAGACAATGGGAACAAGATGAGGAAAGAGAGAGGGAGGGAGAAGTCTTCCAGAAGTTTTCCTTCTCAAGATTTAACTCGCATATCAGTAAATCAGAAGGACAAATCGCTCTCTCGTTTTGGGTACAGTGACAACCAAGATGGACCCAGATGTCTGCATTGCTTCTGTAGACATAAGAGAACTTGGCAGGGTGGGGGATGATGCATGTCTTAATTTTATAAGCACTAAATCAGAAGTTCTCAGAAAGTGATAATAGGAGACGAAAAACCCAAGGCAAAACAAAAAAGAGACAAAAATGCTGGGGCACTTTGAGGACTAGCTACCATGGTTTAATGTGAACTTTCATGTAACAAGTCCCCTTCCATAGACATAAGAGACTATATGACTGTCATAGATATATATGGAACCATGACCAGGTGGGGATATATATGACAAAGTGACAATATTTTGTTAGTAAAGGAATAGGCTATTGGGCTGTGAAAAACAATGCACAAGTGGTAAACTGTGTGGATCAATATGCACTTCACACCTGGTAATGACTTAAGAATGGGATACCCAGTGTGGTATAGTGGGTAAAATGGCAGACTAGGAGCAGGGTTACATTAGGAAATAAACCTATATTCAAATTGGGTTTAACATATTTTAAATTAATTTTTAAACAGGTGACTATATTATGCACATGGAAGTGTGGATTATTTTGACAGGGAATTGTGTTGTTTTGATTAGAAATGAGATATTTTACTCTTCTGACAGAGAGTCATTTATTTAAACTCAGATACTAAATGGATTTATTTTGAATTGTTTTGGTATGCAAGAACACCTCTGTTGGTATAAATTGTGCTTGTGGGGTTTGCCACTCACTGGTTTGCCTTCCATGATTCTTCTCCGTTCCATGTTATTGTCTCTCTTTCTGGCAAGGAGTTTGTCTCACATACTGTAGTGATATGTCACACTTTGAGAGATTTTTAAAAAATGGTAGCAAAAATGGAGTGTTCCCTCCCTTGTAAGCTAGAAGGCCTTGGGCTTTGTCTCTGGTTAATTTCTGTTGCCTTCCCTCTTGCCAGTGTTGGCTGCTGTTCTTTTGCTCCTGTGTGTGTGTCCTCCGAGGAGCCATAGCAATATACCAGTTTGAAATAAAAAAAATTATATATAAACTCACTATAGGTGCGTGGAACTGTTAAATAATAATAATAATTGTGTGCCATCAAGTCAATTTTGGCTTATGGCAAACCTTTCCAGGGTTTTCTAGGTAGAGAAAACGTTTGCCTCCACAGTCAGATAACCAGCTTCACTGAGCTATCCAGCCAGTCCCAACCACTCCTTAAATGCCTCACTTACCTTGAAAGCCTTATTAGGGTTGCTACAAGTCATTTCCGACTTGACAGCACCTAACAACAACAGTGACTTAAGTATCCATACATTCCTTATCTCATCTGGATGACAAGCTAAAAAGACCTTAACATGATAACTTATAAACAAAGTTTGAAAATGTTACTTGTGGTCAGTGGCCCCATTGGCTGAAATATTTTAAAAGTTGTCCAAAATCAAGTAACCTTTCCAAGTTCTGCCTCTAAAACAATTTTAATATCTTATTCCTCTACATTTTTCATAATGTCTGCTGCCTTTACTTGTCACAGGGGAGATATTTCAGAACTCATTTTTGTACCTTATAGCAGATCCTGCATATTGAAGAATTCCTAAATTCTCTGCTTTTGGCCACCATCTTCTGTTGATTTTGATTTCAATTACTGTAATCCAAGTGCTGACTTTAAAAAAAAATCTGTTCAGGAAACGTAAAGCATTTAAAATGGTATAATCTAGAAAATGCTTGAGTCAAAACAAGCTTTTCAAACTTTGACAGAACAGCTCTGGGACATGCTAGAGCAAAGATCACTACTGATATTGGTTGCATACATTATGAGGCTGACTGCCCAGTTCTTGTATGAATGTGTGCAGTAACAGAACCCTAATGGTGAGCTGGACAACTCTATCTGAATTGCATCTCCCATCATTCCTCCCCATTGGCTGTTCTAGCCAAGGCTGATGGGAGTTGCAGTCTAGCAACTGGAGGTCTGCACTTGACCCACCTCTTATTTAGAGACAAATAAATTAAGTGTGTATGTGAGAGGGGGAGAGGAAGAAAGAGAAGTACCTTAATGAACCTAATCTTTTCCCAGTGTGCTTGTTTTTCAGTTCCTAATCAGCCTCTCCCAGATATTTTCCCTTCTGCCTCCTGATTCTAAAAACAGTTCACACCACATGTCCAAGACAAACTCTGAGGGAAATTTTTTGACTCCAGCTCCCATATTCCCCTGCCCATTGTCATTAGCATACTGGCACAGGGATTCTGGAAGTTGAGATCAAAAGAAGTAACTTTTCAAGCTCCAGTCCAAGAAAGGGTGCCACACAGAAGTTTCACCATGCAGCAGAGTGAATGTGTGTGGTGGAGTCTGGTGTCTCTTATCTATCTATGTTCTTGTTCAGTCCAGAGGTAAAATTGACACCAAGCCCTTCTTCACACAGTCTATCAGAGATTTGCTTCTCTGGAGGTTTGCTGACAAGCCTAAAGAGATTCAAAGCATTTCTTATATATTGTACTATAATTGTTGTAAGGTCCTTAAGGGGCATTTTTTTGGGTTGTGGCTACTGGAGATCCTTGTGCTAATGTTTTTCTGTCTGTCTTAGTTTTGTAGTTAATCTGGGCAAAAGCAAAGATGACCTAATGTTGCATTTCAACGCACGTTTTGACGCTCATGGGGACATAAAGACCATCGTCTGCAATTCCAAGAGCAAAGGACAGTGGGGCAAAGAACACAGGGAGAGCAACTTTCCTTTCCAAGAGGGCAGCACTACCGAGGTGAGGCCTGGAAGTGCTTGTATATGGGTGGGGTGGGGTCGGGAGGCAAGGGGGTAGATATGGTAAACCAGGAAACATCCAGTTTTGAGACCTGCCTGTTGTACACATGGGTGAAGGATCTAGAGTGGAGAGCAGTCTCCCACAATCTGGCTGCCCTGCCAGAGAGGTTGGACTAGAAGTCCCATTATCCTGAGCATCATGAATGACAGGAGTTGTCATGTGAAAACCACAGGTTGAGGAGGATTGATGAAGGCACTACAGAAATGTCAGTTCCTAGTTTTGGGGGGAGAACTGCAATGACATTAAAGGCACCCGAGTTCTGACAAACTATAAATTGTATACAGCAGGGGTAGTGCACATCTTAGGTCCTCCAGATGTTTTTAGAACAGTAGGGTCATGTTTACCCACCTTGTTGTAGAACATCATCTTACAGTGTCAACCATAACTTCTGTCATGCTTCACTCTTAGAGTCAGAATGGCTGAATTAGAATAAGTGAATATATTATATTTCTTATTATTATTTCACTCTAACACCCCCCCTTTTTTTCACTCTTTCCAGGTGTTCTTCACTCACGATAAAAATGAGTTGACTGTTACACTTCCTGGCAACCATCAGTTCAAAGTCCCAAACAGTGCCGCTTTAGAGGGCATTGAATATGCCTGTGTGGAAGGTGATATTGATTTCAAAGGCATCTCGCTTGTTTAAGTGCTCCATTTCCTTGTTTCCACTTCCTCTCCGGTTTAATATGGCAGCAAAATAAATGCAGCATAATTCTGGTGATACTTGGCGGAGTGTCAACATTATTTCTACAGTCATAAATACATCTTGGGTGGCCAAAATGCACAACATACATACAGCCCTGCCAGGAACAATTGACAAAAAGCAACATTTGTTATCAAGTTTATTCAGTTGCTTCATTTTCAAAATATATTAGCTGTCTCTTAGCAAAAGTCCCCAGAGTAGTCATATTTGGTACAACAGTCATATTTGCAAATACAGCAAAAGCAACAGGAACACACGAGCGTCTTTAGAAGGATACGTTCAATATGCAATCCTGTTCAATCAAAGTTCGCCCACCGAAACCAGACTATCAAATAAAGTTTTAACATGGGTCTCTCGAGGTGTACAATGATACACAAGGGACATGTGTTTTGAAGGTCAGGCTCACAACTAAGAAGGCCCTGGCTAATCCATGCATTGTTGGCACTCTAGATAACACCATTCCTGCAGTCCTTAAAGGGTGGATGGGATCAAACAGGAAGGAACTGAGATGCCTCCTCTTATCAAGTCAGTGTGATGTGACCTCCAGGCTTTAGAAACCACTCCTCTTCAACACAATTGTTGAAGGTCAAGATGCCCCACCTTCCATTCGATCTAGTTGCCTTGTCTTTACCTGAGGGCCACAGATATTTTCATTACATGGCTCCTTTTGGCTGGACTGGCCCTTTTTCTATACATGAAAGTTCAGTAAATCAAGGGCATTTTCCTTGAAAGAGCTTAAATGAAAAAAAAAAAAGGCTTCCCTGGATTTAATTTCTGAAAGCAGTCTGTGGCTCTCCAGATGTTGTTGAGCTCCAGTTCTCATTGCATAGCCAGTGATTACAGGAGTCATAATCTAGGACTTTGGTTCCCCACTTGTAAGTTAGATGTACAAGGCGAGGCCCAGAGAAAGATTTGGTGTCCTAGTTTATTTTTCTACAATCAATACATGAACTTAACTTACAAGTTTAACAGCATGTTTCAATTGCTCAAGGAGCCCCACACAATGATAATGATCCCTGTAACCAGCCTGTAATGTAGTCTGTATTTGCCCCCCCCCTTTTGCTGATGGACCAGTGATTGTGACAGTAACTTGTCTGCAGTTACTTGCTTCAATGGCTGTGTCTGGACATAATGATAAGGCATAGCTCACTGTTACAAGAATGAGCCTAGCCTCCCCCAGACTTACACACTCACCCTCCTCTTCCAGCATAGCCATGAGAAGACATAGGGACCTCTCATAGTCCAACCAGTTCTTGCCCGAGCCATAAAATGTGGTTAAATGTAACTATGATTAGCAAAAAAAAATAACCCCGATTCATAAACAGTGGTTTCAGGCTAGCTTGTTTGTTTCTGTTAACTATACAACTAGCCTGAACCAGTTTGTACATATTTCTCCAACATGGCAATTTGTAATTAATTTTAAGAAATCTGAAGTGTCCGATTGCCTCTTTGTGGCTGTGCTGCAGTAGAAGGAGGATACGTGCGGGTCAGAAGGAAAGTTTCGAGGCAAAGTGCCCATTTGTACCCGAGATGGATGGAGCATTCTGCTACAAACCAAAAACCATGGTGAGAACAGGGCAAGCAAGGAGGAGAAAGGCTAGCAGACAGAAATGTGTCAGCTCATGCCTTTTACAACTTCTATTACCTTTAATCACTGGTGGGAAATAAAAACAGAAAGAGAATTTTCTTTGGAATAAATTAAGCCCAAGGGCTGTAGGCCTGCCGATCCTGAATTACAGTTACCTTTATGTTGTATGAAAGTATTATGTAGTCCTGCAGCTTTTTAAACCCTGCCATCTCACCATATGGCAATGACGAACTTGCCAGCAGCCTGTTGTGGACAGGGCAAACTATCAGTACAACTCTCTTCGGCCCTGCTGTTGTGAACCTCTGTACTTGCTCTGTGGCCATGAACAACTCCAGGTGGTGACTGCCATTCTGAAACAGCCTTTCCCATCACCTTCCAGATGTGATGGACTACAATCGTGCCATCCCCATCTATCATGGCGCTGTTGACTGGCAGTAATAGGGACTCTGGTTCAGCATGTCTGGGGACACCAGGTTGGCCAATATTGCTCTAAAATGATGTTCAGATATGATGTGGTAAGCAAACAAATATAGTACATATATGCAAAATTAAACTCTTTTACACAAATCAGCTTAACATTTCTGTTCATTTGCAATCACTGGCAGTAGGATGGATGGCATCTGAAATGTTTCAGAAAGGATGTGGTCTGGTAAAGGGCAACAAAGGAAGGAAGGAGCGTGTAGTGGGTGGAACACAGAAAAGGCAAGAAAAAATGGAAGATACTGAGGTTTTGCCTAAAAATGGCAACAAATGTTCACAATGCCACCTTACCGCTGGTGTTGTTTTCAAATGTTGTTCCACAGACTGAAAGGGGCGTCGTCCAGCATGACGATTGCAATGCAGCTGCCCCTTGGCTTTTTCTCCTTTTCTTTCAGCAAATAACACCTGTGGGTTACTTTTGGGGTGGCATCTACTTTGCAATCCCTCATCTTCTCATGGGTGACAAATATACAGATGGTCCTGAATAACTGCAGGCACTGTAGTAACAGTACTAGCACTGCTACTGACAACAGCAACAAAAACCAACATTCCATTGAAATGGTGGTGTTGCTGTTTTAAAGATGGCGTTTATGGCTCATTTACAAAATAGCACCAGCTATTTTGCAAGTGAACATAGGCCCAACCATTGTAGAACCTTGAGGGGGTTGGACAGTAGCTTCTGGACTGAACAACACAAACTCCATCCTAGACCCAAGCTGCCAGAGACAACAGACAGAGAAGAGGTTCCAGCGAAGGGCAGAGGAGTGGAGGTTTAGGTTGAGAGCCACACATTGTGAAAAAATACCTATTACAAATACACAAATATACCTAGTTTCATGTGTAAAATACTGAGTGTATATGATGTGGCCTTGGCACTTACAGTGGGTTTTCTGCAGTAGCAGGAGGAATGTCATATTCATCTGCAACAAACCTCATTGCTGGAACATTTCAGGCGGAGAGAAGGATGGGAAAGTCACACTACCCTGAGACCTAAGGCCTCGGGGTAGTGTGATTTAAGGAGTGATTTAAGCAGAGCTTGGGAAAGTTACTAGAACTCCCAGATTTCCTTAGGCTGTTTGTAGAAGCTGATTCAGCACTATGGCCTGACTGTTAAACTACAACTTTGTAATGTTTCTGGCAGATCCATTCCTTGGGTCCAGGCCAGGTTTACAGAACTCCTGGAGCAAAGAAGCACAGAGAAATCTACCACAGGGTTTATAATAGCTTGGAAGAAGACTGGGGAGATTCTGACAAAAAACACACATACCTCTTACCATAGAAGAATGGAACTACAATATAAACTCTACTAAGCTCATTTTGAATCCAGGATTTTATCTTTAGGAGGGTCAAGTATCCAGAAATGATACCCATGATGACTGATGATGCAAGGAGTTAGAATATAAAGACTAAATATATTATTTACTTGTGTGAACACATCCTGAATGAGTTTTCCAGAGTTCCTTGTGGTGCTATTCAGTACATAAATAAGTTGCAAGAAGCTACCAGGACACAAATACATGTATCAACTTCTCTTTATTTCCTTTGTTTTAAAAAATGGCATCCTGGATTTTTGTCCTTAACAGCAATGGCTAAAATCCAGGCTTCAGGCAGATACATTTGGTCTGGTGCAATTGAAACTTTCAGTCCCATCTCCCACCCCATGCTGCACAAATGATTGGGGCTGCAGGGGAGGGAGGGAGGAGAGGAGAGTAGTGAAAATTGGGTAGAGATACCTTCTGTGACCACAGCTGCACTCACACCCCCCCCCAAAAGACTCTATCCAATCTGGGGAAAGACCTTTTTTTTCCACTGCAGCTTTGCCCACCTATTCCATGCCCTTAAAGCAAGAGTCTACTTTTGAAGATAATGGGGCTTCAAATTGATAATCATGGCTGACTTAACATCTCACTAATTTCACAGAGGCTACTCTGACAGCCCCAACCCCCAATAAGGGCAGAGAAGAATTTCAAACAGCAATATCATAAAAGTAGCTGTCAGGAACACAAAATACTGAGAAAGAACTTTGGGACAACTAATTATCTAATGCCACCCGGAAACAACAGAGTTTTTACTTAGTATCTAAATTCCATTAAGGGAGGAGACAAATGGAGAAGTCTGAAAAGGTAGTCTCACCATATCATGACCGCTGCAGAAAAGCGTGTGGCTTGTAGTCACCCATCATCTACAAATCTTCATGACAGAATGACATGAACAAAGCTCTAAGCCAGCAACGGAGGATTTTCCAAATATAGCTGAATAGCAAATGCTATTCACCATTGTCTATACAGTATTTGCTAAGGGTGATGGGAGTTGCAGTCCAACAGTATCTGGAAAGAGTCCACATTCTCCAATTCTGCCTTGGATGATTGCCTACATGATTAGGCTGAGTCATATGAGTGAAGGCATATTTGGAGCTAAATACTGAGCTCAAATTATACATTACAGATACAGTAGCTCGTTGTTAAAAACAAAATTTTCTTAGCTGAAAGACTTCTGATTATCATAGCATGAGATTGTTCACACTTCCCTGGCTTGCAGAAGTTGTTAAAAACAAAATTTTCTTAACAGCTGAAAGACTTCTGATTATCATAGCACGAGATTGTTCACACTTCCCTGGCTTGCAGATTTGCTGGTTTTTGTTTTATGTTTAACCACTGAGAGGTAAACTCCAGTTTCATTTACATTATAATTGTTGAGGCACCTTGCTTTCATCTTCTAATGATGAGTTCCCTGAAACACACAGTTTGACCATCAGTGTTATCCTTAGCCTTCTTTATCCAAGCAATTCTCCCTGTGTGACAGATGTGCATCTTGCTTGGGTCTTTTCATATCTCCTTTTTCTCCTAAAGAGACCATGCCCCCTACGTTGTCCCTCCCCATCTTGAGCTGCAACATACTCCTGGTAATTCCTGGTGAGGAGAGTATAAAGGAATGGATTGATACAGCTGTTGCCATAGGTCAAGCAGGTTACACCAAAGTTGAGGTAAGCCTGAGCGGTAAGACCAATCTCCAATTCTTCAGACCAATAGAGTTTGGCTAGCTGCCATGCCCAAAATGGTACAAAGCAGGACCAGTAGGCAATAATGATGCTGAAGATCCTGGAGAACAGCTTCTGTTTCAAGACTCTTCCTGTCACTTGTGGCTGCATAGTTTTCATGGAAGTCCAATAGGCCCAAGCAAGACGGGAATAAACAATACCCAAAACCAAACCAGGCCCAAGGATGCTTGTACCAAACAGAACTGTGAGGTAAATTCGGAAAGCATCAGGTGTCCAGGTGGGAAAGCAAATCTGCTTGTGGCTTCTGCCTTCCTGTAGCTGCATCATGACCATCATGGGTACAGTAAGCAACACCGAGAGGAGCCACACAACAGCACTGGCAAGTTTGCGGTAACTATTTCTGGACAACCTGGCCTTTAGTGGTCTAGTCACTGCCCAATAACGCTCCAGGCTCATGGCTGTCAGGATGAAGATGCTAGCATGCATTGTGAGCAGGTCCAAGCTAAGCAGAAACCTACAACCCACGTCTCCAAAGAACCAGTCCTGGGCAAAATATGTGCATACCACAAAAGGAATGGTGGAAAGGTAGATTAAGTCAGCCAAAGCTAGGTTGATCACATACACATGAAGAGAACCCATTGAGCGGATCAACGGGTTGCCAAATGCTACCACCAGCGTGTAGATATTCCCCATCATTCCAATGAGACACATAAGGACAAGTATCACACCCAAGACTTCAGTGACAGGACTTTCTTCTCTAAGCTCAGTGTCATCAGAAAAATTGCCCCATGAAGCTTCGTCTATGAGCTGTGCCATCATTGAGTGTTCTCTCTCTCTCTGACTTTTCTTCATCATCTGGTTATTCCTGTCTTTAGCAAAAAAAGAGAATACCTCTCCAGGGCAGCCGTACAGATTTCCTCCTTTCCTTCCTCCTTCTGGTGCTCCCTCAACCATCCCCTTCTCAGAAATACCATTCCCTTCTCAGTGGAGGCCCATGTCTGACGATTGGTTTCACACTCAAGTGCCAATGCAGTCAGCAGTTGCTACCAGTCAGTGACCTCACAAGTGAGGAATCGCACGGTCCTTCAACCCAATCATTGTTTTTCTCTGAGTTTTCTTCACAGCATTTTCCCTTGGTGTCTTCTTTGCTTTCTTTTTTGATATTTTTCTTTGCTTCCTTGCTGCTTTCATCTTTACTCACCCATATAAAATTGGGGGGTGGGACATGTGACTATCCAGATATTTAAGTACTGCCACTCCTATCACTCACCCATCCTTATTACTATAAATCAGGGATGGACAAAGTGCAGCCCTTCAGAGGTTGCTGTGCTGTAACTCCCATCGGTCTATTCAAGGGTGAGGAATGCAGGGAGTGGAAATCAGAAGCACCAGAACTGAACTCTGCCTAGGGTAGAGGTGAATTGCTATCTGAAAACATCTGGAAGCCCATACATTTCACATCTTTGATATAAAAGGGAAAGCAGGGAGTTCTATATAAATAATGTAATCTAAATAAACAAAAGGTGAAGAAGAAAGAATTTGTGTTGAGGATAAAACAGGACTTGGAAGATGAAGGGAAAGGAAAAGTAGCTGAGATTAAATTCCTAATTTGGAGAAAACAAAAAGAATTTTCCAATTTAGGAACTTAATCTCAGATTTTTGTTCCATTCTGGTTGGACAACTTAATGAGTCAGATCACCTGGAGATAGGGACAGGTGATTGAGTCTTCACCTCGCCTTGCAGGAGATGAGCTAACCTGTGCAGCCTTGGGCAAGCTATATAGTGCCAGAGCACCCACAGAAGAAGAGAATGATAAACCACTTCTGAGTAGCCTATAGCAGAAAACCCTTCCTTCCTTCCTTTCAATGACTTGCTAATCTATGGTTGGTGCAGCTAGACTAAGAAAAAAAGAGAAAGGAATCAGCAGGGAGAAAAGGAAGTTTTAAGGTAGCTCTGCCTCTTGCAAATCTGGACAGCCAGAGCACAACAGAGCAGAGCTGCCTTAGAAAGCTAGAAACAAGGCTGAAGTGGCCCATAGCAGAAAACCCTTCCTTCCTTGCTTTCAATGACTTGCTAATCTATGGTTGGTGCAGCTAGACTAAGAAAAAAAGAGAAAGGAATCAGCAGGGAGAAAAGGAAGTTTTAAGGTAGCTCTGCCTCTTGCAAATCTGGACAGCCAGAGCACAACAGAGCAGAGCTGCCTTAGAAAGCTAGAAACAAGGCTGAAGTGAAAATTTCCTCCTGTCTCTCTGCTGATTCCTTTCTCTCCCCCACTTAGTAAGCTTTGAAAAGAAAAGAGAAATGGGCAAAGAACAACAACAACAACAACAAGAACAAGAACAACAAAACCAAGCAGACTTAGGTACCAGGTATGAAGTTGAGAAGATTCAAAGAGTGAACAGGGGTAATTTGCTCCCCCCCCCTCTACTGAGTGGTTGGCTGAAGCAAACTCACCTGGGGAAACTCAACTTTCTGGATATGACTTCACAGTGGATCCATTCATGTCAGGATGTGGCCCATACTGCCCTGGCAGCTGCAGGATCAGGTCCGGCCTGACCCAGGAGTGGCCTGGTGTTTGCAGGCTCAGGCCCTGACCTGTGTAGCAGCTGCTGAGCCATTCATGAGGCTCACCTGGAAACCTGGAGGGAAAGCCTATTTAAGGCATGGTTCTCCCTGCCAGAACTTGCCTCAGTAACAAAGGTCTTGCTGCTCCTGAGCTCTAGAGTCCCTGTGGTCCAGTATTCCTAAATCTTCTGCCTTGGTCCCTGCTCGCCAACTACATCTCTGCATCTTGACTCCAGTGATCCTGCTCCTGCCTTGACCCCTTTTCTTGCCTTCTGCCTCTCAGGACCTTGTCCAGGCTCCGTGTTCTCAGCCATGCGCTTCCTGCCTCTGCTTAGTCATGACCAACCATGCAGTGAGTGCCTTTGGACTTGATACTCTGTGTGGTGGATTGGGCCCTGGTGCCCTTGCCCCTGGTGAAGGGCTGCCTGGGATATCTTGGACTAGGACAATTCACCTTTTTCTTGCTGTGTAACACACTCTAACACATGACAAAACAGGACTCTTCTATAATCTGGAGGTCAAGCCGAAAGCAGTCATGATCAGGAGGGAATGTTGCTGGGCATTGTGAAAAAGCCCAACATACAATTTCTACAACAGACTAAAGCAGATGATTTTTAGATTTGCTACCCAGTCCTTGTGCTTTACTCAGAAATAAATTTCACTTTTTCATTGGAATTTATTTGTAAGAAATTATGCATGGGATGCAATCTTGTTAGGTTTAACCACACAAGGTAGACAACAAGTGTAAAGTTCTACCAAAACCACTGGTGCAGGATTAAAGCCCCACAACCTTTTGAGTAGCAGGACCTATGATAGTAACCCCTCCCCCCATAGTTCCCTGTTCATTCTGAATATAACTGTGATTATATTTTCTCAGGAACAGTATATTGTTGCAAACTACCCTTGTGGTAATGCAAAATCTTTAAAGTGGTCTTCAATGGGCAGTTTAGAGCCAGTATCACTACGAAAGATATGCTCCTAAATCATTGTTTTGCACTGATCCAGCAACCTGTGTATTTTAGTATTTCAATGGGAACTTTGGTGATAAGCTCCTATAACTGTACTTCCAAATTTATCACTACAGGGATAAAGACTACAGGGAGAAGACAAACATTCAGAACAAGGAATACTCCTTTAGAAACATAGCAGCTAGTTGCTATCCATACTATCTCAACAAGCTGACACAAGAGCTTTTGGTGCTTGAGGCCAAAGACAAAATCCCAAACCTGTGTATCGCAGCAGATTGGACCGACAATTGAACCTTACTTTGGAACCAAAAATATGATCTCCCACTAGGCTTGGAGCACAAGACAGGCTGTTATGTCCATAAAGAAAGAGGCACTCCCATGACTCTAGAAGCATCAGGTGGGGGGCTGCCACTGCTGCTGTCCCAAATCTGCCCCATGATGCAGCTGTTTCCCTCTGGCTAATGGGAAGCCTGGCCCTTCCTATCTCTAGTGCTACTTGTCTTAAGTGTCTGTGAAGATTCTCAGTCCTTCAGGTGAGGTGATCTGGAAGCAGAGTCATGGCAACTGGATGTCTTTCTTATTGGGTTGAAATGTTTCGCTACTCATCTAAGTAGCTTCTTTGGAAGCTACTGAAAAAGGTCTCTTTTTACTCAAGACACGACAATTAATTTTCCTAGCCGCCTTGATCAAATGAAGGAACTTCCCCAAAGGCCTACAGCACAAAAATGACAGAACTCTAGCAGATGTTTGGTTTACCAACAAGGAGGCGTGGGAATGTTTGCAGTGAATTTCATGGCTACATGTCACAACTTGAAATAAAACACCCTTATGCCACGTAGAGAGTGTAACTGAAATACCAGGATTGAAGGAGCACTGTGTGAAGCTCTCTATTTACAGTACTTTTGAGCTTCTTAAGAACTGTTAGAAGTGGCAAAAACTGTGAACAGCTCCCACAATAATAAGCATTTGGAGCTGCTCTGGATTCAGCTTGATCAGCAGAGAGGAAAGCATGACTTCCCAGGGTTTGGCAGTAAAACCATAGTCTTCATGTTCTTCTTGGCATTAAATTGAACAAAAAAATGCACCCGTTAAAAATTTCAGCTTTTTTGGCTCAGCCACGAAGAATTAATATCTCAGAACCCAAAATATAAATAATGCTTACTCCTGTGCAACCTGATTGTTCCACAGTTACTATTTGTTAATATATTTTATTCAAAATATTTTTACCTCACCTTTCTCCTTAAAAAGAACCCAAGGTGACTTACATCATTAGTATTTAAAGTTAATGATGGTAAGTATACAGATACAAAAAGGATCACACAAATAAAATGTTAAAAAAATATAAGCTACACCAAAACAATAAGGTACAGAATCCATTTTAAACCCCACTCAGGCAGCGGGTCACTCAGGGAAGGCTTGCCTGAAGAAAAAGGTCTATTTGTGAACCACTCCATTAAACGGAAAACCCATCCAATGGATGGGATTCTTTATTTTCAGAAATACACCCATGGTCCCGCCTGCTTAACAGAAGGAAAGCAAAGATGGGGCCTCTGCTGACCAACAAAAGGGCTGGAATAGACAAAAAGGCTGAGCTGATTATTGTGAATCCTTGGGAACCCCAACTTCACCATGAGGTCTAAGACGCCGAAGTATTTTCGAAGTGAATAGGAAACAAAACAAATGAGGCCCATTATTTTGTCCATATGAGATATGGGAACAAAAGGATCAGATCTACTTTAACAATTTAATCTTTAAATACACCTGATTACAAATATACACACATGCACGAGCACTGTTTATCTCTATTGGGGTGAAAAAGAGTCAATCAAGTTGCACGCATAACAGAGAGGTTAGAGAGGGAGTACCAGGGACAGAAGGAAGCAGTGAAACTTATCAGCATAAATTGCAATGGGGTGTAAGCTTATAGAACAGGGACCTTGTATGATCTATTAGAAACAGGGAAGTCTTGTCTAATGTACTTGAGGTTTTACAGGTTTGATCCTCTGTCAGATGTGGTCAGGCTACCTAGAATGTCATGTCATTTGGACATTAAACAAAAAAAGACAGTGGAAGACTGGCTGGATCTCCCCTTGTCATAAAGGAGAAATGAAAGAAGAGTAAAACAAATGTAACAAAAATGAAAGAAATGAAAGATATACATCTTATGAAAGCTTATATATATTCTTGCATTCCACTCCAGAGATTAGCACCTACTCTAGATGCAAACAGGTTTGAAAGAGAAGTATATGTACTCCATCCAAAAGAATCTAAGCCGAGGGTATTCTGATTTTCCTGTTGCAGGCAACAATAATGTGCACTCAGATGCTTCGTTGCTGTCTGTCAGGAATTTGGGGTTAAGGCAGAGTTGTCAGGATGTGGCAGGATATTCCTGAACAGATAGCAAACTAGAGAAAAGGAGTACCCACAGGTTCAGAATAAGCACAGTGCTGGGTCAGTATTATGGGGAATATATAACATGAGTCTTTAAGGTGCCACACATCACAATGAATGCATGTTTGTATCTGTCTACCAAAGACAGAAATTGGAACAGTTGGAGATTTTGTATACAGTATTTGGTTCAATCATCAATCGAAAGGGAGACTGTATCCAAGAAGTCAGAAGAAGACTGGAGCTAGGAAGGGCAGCAAGGAAGGAACTAGAAAAAAAGATCACCAGGTGTAAGGCTGTGTCATTGGAGAATGAGACCAAAATCACCCATACAGTACTTGTATTCCCAGTCATCATGTATGGGTGTGAAAGCTGGACAGTTAAGGAAGCAGACAGGAAAAAATTGATTCATTTAAAATGTGGTGCTGGAGGAGAGCTTTGAGGATATCCTGGACTGCCAGAGAGACAAACAAGTGGGTCCTAAATCAAATCAAGCTTGATTTATCTCTGGGGGCAAAAATGTTGACTGAGGCTGTCCTTCTTTGGGTATTTCATGAGAAGACAGGGTTCCCTGAAAAAGACAATAATGCTAGGAAAGGTGGGAGGCAGCAGGGAAAAAAGGCGGACCAAATATGAGATGAACTGACTCCCTAAAAGAGACCACAGGCTTGAGTCTGCAAGAGCTGAGCAGGGCGGCTGAGGACAGGGCATTTTGGAGAGCACTCATTCATAGGGTCGCCATGAATTGGAGCCAATTTGATGGCACGTAACAACAACAAACCGGACATTTTAAAAGCCAGCAGCCAGTCCTCAGCAAGCATCAGTCAGCTGCACAGGAGGGGCAGCACAAAGATCTGCCAATTCAACTTTGCTGCTTCCCAACGTTGCATCGCATTTCCTTGTTGATCAAAACAGTAGAGCACACTGCTGTCCCAGTGCATGCAGCCGTTCTCTAACAGCAATTGTTGTGATGGGATATTGTTCATTTTTTAAAAGCATCTCCAACCAGCAGAGGATCATTTGGCAGAGTTCACAGGCTCCTCTAAAGAGCTTTGGCTCATTGATAAAAGGACGTATGTTCTCTAACCTTGAGAGAACAGGAAACGTAGCATAGCAATTGATTTGATAGAGGATGCCTTCTTTCCATCCCGTGTTTCTCAGATAGCAGCTAGCTTCTCTCTCTTGCAGAGACGCTACGGCTTGAGCTTAAAATAAGCTTCAACTGTCCAAAAAAAGAAGAGAATGTATTAGAGCTCACAATAGAGCCACGCAGTTGGGGATGGCTATATTCAGCAGGAGACAAAAATAATGCTTTTGTTTTATTTTAAAATCAGATTCCTAGGCCCCAGAGCTGTAGGGACAAGCTTTGAATAATAGAGACAATGCTTGGTGAAATCACAAAAAACAACATGGGATTGGAAAAGATCTCAGGCAGCAAAGCTGGCTGAATACATAGCTCATTGGTTTAAGTATCCGGCTGTGGGGGCAGATGCTGGGAGTTCAATTCCTCACTGTGCCTCCTGGGAGAAGAGGCAGCCTGTGTGGCCTTGGGCAAGCTGCACAGTCCCAGGGTATCCCCAGAAGAAGGGAATGCAAACCACTTCTGAGCATTCTCTACCTGGAAAACCCTGAAAAGGGTCACCATAAGACAGAATTGACTTGATGTCATATTAGGTAGCAAAGGGTGTGGTATCATTATGATATCTAGCATCATTTCCTCCTCTAATGGCTAGCAGAAGCAGAATAGATTTATGAATACAATGCACAGTAAACTACATGGATGCCCTGTAGCAGCTAAGAAATACAACAATAAATCAGGGAGTCCCTGGTCAAAATCTAATTCCTCCCAAGGTTCTCCTAGATGACCTAAACCAAACCATTGTCTCATTTTCAACTGTTTGTGGCATGGTCCAGTGTGAGCTATTTCCTGCTGATCAAACATGTACAGGGAATAGCACCCCAACTTTGTCTCCAAGCCGTGCCCAAGCTGGACCTTTTTGGTCCAGCAAGTAGGGCTACTACTTTTGGGGGGTGAGCTGGAGCAATTTCTCAATGGATGGGTGGGTTGTTTTAAGAAAGATCGCTCCCATTCAGATGACCCTTTCCAGTGCAATCACACAGGTTCCTTTTTTTGCTGTCTAATTGCATCCTTAATCTTAGCTCTTCAGCTGCAATACTGGTCTATCATACAAGGAGCAGATTTTAGAAATATTGTAGTGGAAACTTTGCTTCATTATAGGAAAAATGAACCTGAATAATCAAAAACACCACATCAGTATTAACCTCTTCAGATTGCTGCCTTGTCTTATATTTAATACATATATGTATAATACGTATATGTATTAAATATATGTATAACTGCCTAAGCAGATTAAACTGAAGCTATTGTACTTTGGATTTTGTACTTTGGATATTATACTTTGAAGGTATTATACTCTAGTCATGCTGGCCATGTGACCACGGAAACTGTCTTCAGACAAATGCTGGCTGTATGGCTTGGAAACGGGGATGAGCACCATGTCCTAGAGTCGGACACGACTGGACTAAATGTCAAGGGGAACCTTTACCTTTATTGTACTTTTGACAGATCATGGGGCTTGCAAAAATGGACACACTAATGCTAGGAAAAGTTGAGGGCAGTAGGAAAGGAAGAACACCAAACACAAGATAGACTGCATGCATAAAGGAAGCCATAGCCTTTAGTCTGCAAGATGTGAGCAGGGTTGTTCAATAATAAGTCTTCTGGGAGATCATTAATTCCTAGACCATCATTAGTCTGAGATGACTTGACAGAGCACAACAACAAATAAACTACCAGGCATAAGAATCAGATGGATGTTTGCAAAAGATAAAGCCTTTCTTACTTGCGTACTCCTGGGGTGTCATGGGCTGCTTTATAATATGCCAGAAAGCTGCCACCCACTCTTGCCGATCCTTTTCTGTTTCACAGGTGAACAGGTAATCACGGTCAGGAGTGACAATGGTGATGCCATATTGCCAGGTGAAGCTGCCCTGTGTGCCATCTGGAAGTCCCTCTAGGACACTGTAACCATTTTCCCCACTGCCCACGAATACTTCACCTTTAGCAAAAGCATCCTGTGAATGGAGAGACAAGTGGGAGAGTTGTTTTAGGGAGCCTGATGAATTTCTGGTCCACATTAACAACTGACAGCAGAGATAAGTTGAAGCCTGATAGGAATGTCACATGATTTTCTTGAGTGAGAAAGGAGCAGGGTGTCAACACTGGGGCTTACCTCCATGCAGGTGCACAGAATACAGCTATGCTCTGTCCAAATTGTAAGAATTCCAGTTGGACCATACTATTTATTTTGCCCTGCGTACTCTGCCATTAGCCTTGCCCCGGTCCTTAGCTCCACTTATTTCTGGAATACACCCTCCACAAGCATTCCCTAATGAAAACTCATTCTTCTGGCCAAAAATAGGTACCCCACCCACTATCAGTTTGGAGCCCTTTACTGTTTTGGCCTATAACTTCAATTAAGTCCAATCAGTGTGGCTGGTGGTTAGGTTCAAAGCATCTTGAAACTGCAGGCTCTCTTTGTGCAGGATAAGGAGAAGTCTTGCACAAAGGAAAATATGGCAGCTGGCCCTGGTTGTCAGGTAGGACACTTGGGAGTACAGTGGGGTCTCTACTTAAGAACGTCTCTACTTAAGAACAATCCAACTTAAGAACAGCTCCATTTGCTAAATTTTGCTTCTACTTGAGAACAGAAATCCAAGATAAGAATAGGAACCCTGGAAGAGCCACAACAGCAAAAACATCCAAGATGGTCTTTCTCAACCTGGTGCTTTCCATATGGACCACAACTCCCATCACTCCCCTAATGGAGATGGGTGACAGTTTCATTTCAGTTTTTTCTTTTTACAAGAATTTAGCAGTATTTGAATTTTTTCATATTCAGCATGAAAACAATTTGATGTTCTAAAAATACATTTGAGAGAGAAACCGTACCTGACCAAATTCCTCCATCCTCTGGTTATCTGTGAAGGACAGTGGGGGTTATAGCCCTAAATATCTGGAGGGACAAAGGTTCCTAACTCATACTTTATTGGAGTGGCTATAGAAACTAGTTCAAAAATATCAATAATTTCACATTTATGTCAAGTAATACAGAAGGAAAAAAACTGCCATTTTTAAAGAAAGTGTAACCTGAAATTGGGAGGGGGGGGAGTCAGTGAAAGAAGGGACAAACCAGTTGCCAGTTTACCAAAGGATCTTTGAAGTACATCAGTCTTCTGTGGTCCAGAGTGAACCAGCGTTTCTTGAAAGACTCCTTTTGCTGCAGAAGTAAAAATACAATTCCATTTACAAGAACACAGAGACATCTCCTGGCAATTCAATGGAAGTGGCTTTGTAATGCATTTATTGAAATTCCGTGATGCATCCGGGTAGGTGGGGCTCGTCAGCCATGGAAGGCAGCCCATCTAGGAGAAGGAAAACTCCAATTTCAAACCTCCACTGCCTTGTGGCTATATCCACTCATGGAAAAGGCTTCAGGAGTTAACCTCGAGGCAAAATCCGGAGCTGGAGTCCCGAAGGCAGCATGTGTCGTTCTGCCAAGTCCTGCGACGTTGCTGGAACCAGTCGTATTGGCTCTTGCCTTTCCATTGGACCATTTCAGCAATGTGGAGAGGGGGGATCTGCTGCTTGGGTAACAGCCTATCCTCCATATTACCTTACCCGGGCTTCATGCTCTGGAGAGGACACTCCTCGATTCAGAGCATGTTACCATAGTCTCTCGAGACTGAAGGATGCCTAAGTGATGCATCTAATGAATGGGGTTGCAGCCCATTAACATCTCTATCAAATAATTTGTATTAAGGTGCAATTAGATGGCTCCAAAGCCACCAATCTGATTGCACCAGAAAGGATAGTTTTAACAAGAGCAATCTCCCTTAAAGTAACCCTTTCCTTTGCCAGGGAATTGCTCCAGTCCAGCCCCCAAGAGTAGAAGCCTTACAGCTGGACCCAGAAGGCCCACCTTGGACATGGATCAGGGTTGTGCTGGAGCACATTTCCCTGTGAGTCATGTGATCAGAAAGAAAGAGATCATACTGGACAGCTCCACAAACGGCCTGAATTGTGATCTATTTCCCCATGTGATCATACCTTTTGTCTTTATTGAACCACAAGACTCTGTACCATGAGAAATCTATGTAAAGGTTAATATGCATGAAGTTCAGAACAGCATTAATTGGTGATAACATGTTAGCTGTCACTTAGCTATGTTAATCAACACAGGAAACCACTAAAACAGAGGAGTACTTCCGCAGTGCTGAGACTTTCCTCTTGTTTGATTAATCCTTTTGCTACTTTTGGCTTACTGTCACAGAGCTACAGCTTCTACAGCTATGAGATTAGCACAGGTAACAAAGTAAAATATATCTAAATGCATAAATAAAATTACCCTTGGCCCAGTTTTCTCCATGTAACCTTCTTTCAGGAAATTCCTTGTCAACCGTCCTTTTAACTGCAACAAAGAAATAGATTCTGATTTTTCACCATGGTCAGAAAGACACGGTTGCCACTTTAGATACAGTAATCAGAGGTTTGGATAGACTGGGGAAATTGCTGTTTTCCTCAGATTAGCACAATGCCTAATGCTAAATCAGTCAGGAAGACACGGTTACCACTTTAGATACAGTAATCAGATTAGCACAATGCCTAATGCTAAATCAGACAGACACAGATTGCATGCATCTAATCAGAACAAACTGTGTTATAATTTTTTGATCTTTTAGGTATAGTGTGTGAACTGCTTTCACTAACAGGTTGTTTATAATTTGTTGTGAACTGCTTATAATTTGTGTGTGAACTGCTTTCACTAACAGGTTGTGGTTTGTTATCAAACTACAAGCCAGAATCAGAACCCATGGTGTGTTATTGGCTGGCAAAGTCTGGTTTGTTTAAATCATGGCTTCCTGTGTAGTAATCCCAAAACTGCAGTTTGACTCGACTTGTTTGCCAAGCTGCCCATCTTGAAATGGGGAGAGAGACAAACCTGGGATGGGGAGAACAAGCCATGGTCCAGTAAGTAGTGCAGTTCATGACCTAAGCAACAAGCCATAGTTAAAATTTGTACAAACATGCTCACACCCAACCCAATTTTCACCTTAGCTAAAATGGTCAAAGAGTGTATACATAAAACTCAAAGTGTTATTAGCAGGCCAGAGAATCTATGGATTGGCATTCCTAATGTGTTGTTCTTGCTTCATAGCTTTCCTACCTCTTTATCACAGGCTACAGGAAAGGCCACCTTCAGATAATGGAACTGTACTGCACGAATTGCATTGAACCAGTCCACTATTTCCTAGGGAGAAAAAAAGATACACAAAGAACCAATAAATAAGTGAATGGTAACTTTACCCTAAGCAGGCCTGTTCAAAAGTGGGACCCATTTAGTGATCTGGAATTTACATTCATGGAAATTTTGATTAAGACTGCAGCATGAGTCAGGAGCCAGCAGAGCTACAGAGTTCTTGTAATTAGTTCATGGAATATAAGAGACATAATTACATGCAGTGCAGCAAACTTAATGTGTTGTTTGAACCTCTGAATGTCTCCTACAGCCATAATTTATAACATTCAAAATACATCCTCCCCTACTATGTCTCCTACCATGAATATGTGTACGGACAATGCTATAGACCCATATTTAATATTGCTATGTGATTGTTCACACTGCATGTCCTAATTGCCTCTGGCTAGAAGGCTTCCAGAGAGGACAAAAAGAATCTGGATTGGCCCCAGTGAATAACAATCGGTCCCTTGATGACATTCAAAATCTGCCTCCTAAAGCAGGCACTCACTCTGTCTAATAGTAGAGCTGCCCCAACTATAGGCTCCAGAGGAGCAAAACAAAATACAGGACTAGAAAGCATGCAGAAAGAGAAAATTGTTTTCAAAGGTAAAGGTAAAGGTTAAGGTTCCCCTTGACAATTTTTGTCCAGTTGTGTTCGACTCTAGGGGGTGGTGCTCATCCCCGTTGCCAAGCCATAGAGCCAGCGTTTTGTCCGAAGACAATCTTCCGTGGTCACATGGCCAGTGCGCCTAGAC